ATTTTATTTTCTACATGCATAAAATTCAAATTGCAATTCTGCATCCTGTTTGCAATATCAAATCAAATCTAATTTTAATTCAAATTCTGAATTCAGTATTAATTCAATTCAGAATGGCATACATCCCTGCTACTCAAATACCAGTGATCAAATAAGGGAATTGATTAAACCTAATACAATTAGAGATGCCAAGCAAACGCTCTAATTAGCTACAAACTAGCAATGACACATATTAACATACTAAAAGTAACTATTAAAAATGCACTATGAAAGTTTAGTAATATATAGTGTTAGATGGAAGAGCAAAAACAGACGACACTGATCTATAGCCTAAGCATCATATAGAATAAATGTCATCTCAATCTAAACAACTCTTCATTAAGCACAGTATCAAGCCCCAAAACTGACAACATAACAAAAAGTCCAATTGAACAGCACATTAACCATTAACAGCAACATTTTAACTCAAATATTTCATCTATTCTATACGATTTTACTTTCAAGTTCACATTCTCCCTTATCTGCAGTCAATGGCACTGAATTATCTGCAATGATCTAAATCACAATTGTACAATAGGAGAATATTTTTCCTCAGGAGCTTTCTGGTTAGACTGCTCGACAGGAGCGTAGAGATCCGAATCAATTACCGAGGTCAGGCTGGCCTTAGGAGCACTTCTTAAAAAGTCTTATTCTTGTTATGCAAGCCTGCTCAGTGTATTAGAGCTTTCGATGGACAGTGTATAATGTATGATACATTAATCTCCACTATTTCAATTTCTGAGACTGGGGCTGTAAAATTGTTATGCTGCATATCTAATTCTCTTTTTTTCCCTGTTCCCCCTGAATAGCCGATTTATGCCTCTCTCAGAAGCTGGGGTGCAGCTCCCATTGTGGACCCTATGGTACATTAAGAACAGCCAACATCAGCTCTCAAATCTTATCTTGTTAAATCAGACAAACGCAAGTGGCTGAAAGGGAGAGAATTAATGGGAAGGATGCTGGAGGGAGAGAACGGAGCGTTTCAATGCAGCGTGTGTGTGTGAGGGGAGGACGCGGCTGAGTGAAGATGGGTATCTGCAGTCAGGGTTGCAGTAACACTGCTGGCGTCTTGGGTTCATCTCCCTGCCGTTTGCTGTGTCGATTGTGCCGTAGCTGATGCATCTAATTCCTCTAAAAGTGTGATAGTTTATGACACAGAAGACGCGGAAAGTGTGTTCAGAGACGCTTGCGATGAAATATCATATTGTGGTCTACTGTGAAAAAGCGAGAAAGACAGAAAACAAGAATGTAAATATGTAATTGATGGGTTTTGGTTCAAATCTCTTGGCTAACCACTGCATGCTTACCTATGAAAAGTTGACTTGAACCATGTCTCTCTACCCACAATCCCCGCAAACCACTCCTAGCACTCTCTTCCTCTCTCTCAAGAGCCGTTCATACCAAGGATGATAACTATCAAGTTTAAATAATTTACCTAATTCTACAAGAATAGGGAACTTCACACCACACATATATTCTACTGTAAATTTAAGTTTAATCTGTAAAATGTAATGTTTCGACTGTATTCTTTATGATAAAGTTTTGTCAATTTCAAGTAAAGTTCTTTTTTATCTAATTTTTTAAAGGCTATGGCCACAGATACAAGCTCACTGGTCTTTATAAAAACTGTAAGAATGACTGCCATGATAACCAATGAAAAAGAAACAATCCAACAATTTTGTAGCGCAAGAACAAACATAACAGTCTAGTCAAGTGATTCCCAACCAGGCATACATGTATCCCAGGGGGGTCCTTAAGCAGGTTCCAGCTAATACAATTAGAGATGCCAAGCAAACGCTCTAATTAGCTACAAACTAGCAATGACACATATTAACATACTAAAAGTAACTATTAAAAATGCACTATGAAAGTTTAGTAATATATAGTGTTAGATGGAAGAGCAAAAACAGACGACACTGATCTATAGCCTAAGCATCATATAGAATAAATGTCATCTCAATCTAAACAACTCTTCATTAAGCACAGTATCAAGCCCCAAAACTGACAACATAACAAAAAGTCCAATTGAACAGCACATTAACCATTAACAGCAACATTTTAACTCAAATATTTCATCTATTCTATACGATTTTACTTTCAAGTTCACATTCTCCCTTATCTGCAGTCAATGGCACTGAATTATCTGCAATGATCTAAATCACAATTGTACAATAGGAGAATATTTTTCCTCAGGAGCTTTCTGGTTAGACTGCTCGACAGGAGCGTAGAGATCCGAATCAATTACCGAGGTCAGGCTGGCCTTAGGAGCACTTCTTAAAAAGTCTTATTCTTGTTATGCAAGCCTGCTCAGTGTATTAGAGCTTTCGATGGACAGTGTATAATGTATGATACATTAATCTCCACTATTTCTGAGACTGGGGCTGTAAAATTGTTATGCTGCATATCTAATTCTCTTTTTTTCCCTGTTCCCCCTGAATAGCCGATTTATGCCTCTCTCAGAAGCTGGGGTGCAGCTCCCATTGTGGACCCTATGGTACATTAAGAACAGCCAACATCAGCTCTCAAATCTTATCTTGTTAAATCAGACAAACGCAAGTGGCTGAAAGGGAGAGAATTAATGGGAAGGATGCTGGAGGGAGAGAACGGAGCGTTTCAATGCAGTGTGTGTGTGTGAGGGGAGGACGCGGCTGAGTGAAGATGGGTATCTGCAGTCAGGGTTGCAGTAACACTGCTGGCGTCTTGGGTTCATCTCCCTGCCGTTTGCTGTGTCGATTGTGCCGTAGCTGATGTATCTAATTCCTCTAAAAGTGTGATAGTTTATGACACAGAAGACGCGGAAAGTGTGCTTTAGTAACCAGGTACAACGCCGCAACATGTTTAGCATCTTTTCCATTTTTGTTTTAACCAGTCGCCACGTCGAGCGACAAGGAATTCTATTTTTAGAATGGTTTCTATTTCTGCAACATTGCAGCTGACAGCTCAGGTACTGATTGTGTTTTGTATATTAAAATGGTTTAATCTCGAGTATATATATATATAAATCCATGACAAAGATTGAATCAGTCACTCAGTATGTATTACGAATAATGTTAAAATGGTTTATTTTATGCACTTATTCATTTCTTTCTAAGTGCAAGACAGAAGTGCACTTGCAGATAGAGCCCGCCCACATGATCTTCTGATTGGCTGTGATTTGTGACTGATTTTGTTACTACATTTCGTAGATATGTGGTTGACAAACTACCTTTTTGCCAGATTTCTATCGCATTGTGTCTAGTTAGGACATGGTGTCATATTAGATAAATGGAACATTTGTGGCTTGGCATCAATGAAGGGCTACTTGAGCCTCAGTGAAGGGGCCATGAGGGAATACTGGTCTAGTAAGTCTAATACACTAGTCGCCGATAAACACATAAAATCTGAAATTTGGAAGTGCCTTAGTTTTACAGAGCCAGAGTACATATTCTCTTATATCATTGCTATTCTGTCAGAAGAAGCAATCCAGGCCCTGAGGTCGTGATACAGGGTCCACAGTGGAGGGGCTAATTTGATTGTGGCAGAACAATGGCACTGTAGCCTCCCTCCTAGAAACGCATACTAATTACAAAGCCTGCCCTTGATCCTGACCTTGGTGGGTCACTTAGCAGTTGTGATCTGTCTCTGACTCTTAATAAAGTCTCTTTCACCCTTGTGAACCAGAGTGGCAGCCTCTCCTCTCCTCTCGTTTTCTCTTTCGCTCGCTTGCTCTCCCTCTCTCTCCGTCCCTAATTACCAGCATGCTAAGCGGGCAGAGACATAATGACTGGGGCCATCACTCTCTCTGTGCCTTGCAAAACCAATTCCAGTGACAATCATTTCAAATGAACTGCAACACTCACTTGTTGTCCTGAAGGGAAAAAAAAATTTTAATGGAGAATAATATGGGTGGTACTGCAGCCTACTTGGAAAACATGTTTTTGGAAATTCAGCAATATTTACACAAATTAAAAGAATGGAACTAATTATAATTGTAATTATAATAATATAAATTTAAAAAGAAACAAACAAAAACACTACTAAAATCTACTACTACTGCTACTATTATTATTATTATTATATGTGACCCTGGACCACAAAACCAGTCATAAGTAGTACGGGTATATTTGTAGCAATAGCCAACAATACATTGTATGGGTCATTATTGTTTTTTTAATGCTAAAAATCATTAGGGTATTAAGTAAAGATCATGTTCCATGAAGATAGTGTAAATTTCCTACTGTAAATATATCAAAACTTTTATATATTTTTGATCAGTAATATGCATTGCTAAGAACTTATAATTTGGACAACTTTAAAGGTGATTTTCTCAATATTTTTATTTTTTTACACCCTCAGATTCCAGATTTTTAAATAGTTGTATCTCTTGTATATCCAAAAAAATCATACATCAATGGAACGCTTATTTAGTTTTCAAAAAACTGACCCTTATGACTGGTTTCGTGGTCCAGGGTCACATATTGGTCACACTTTACTTTAATGTCCAATTCTCACTATAAACTAACCATTACCTATGACTTTTGCCTAAATAAACTCCTAATTACTGCTTATTAATAGCTAATCAGGTCGTTTTTAAGTTTAGGTATCGGGTAGGATTAAGGATGTAGAATATTGTCATGCAGAATATGTGGTTTACAAGTAGGCCTACTAATAACTTTTTCTTCCTGTGCAAATGTCATCATTTTGTTGTTATTATTATGTGTATTTGGCATAACTGTCTTTTGCATCACACCTCTGCAGTATAAACACATACATGCATCACTCCTGCATTATGAAGCAAATGTCATTATTTTTGCATAAAACTATTTAAAAAAAATTTCCAGAATTTCCTCTAACATCATGCAGACATTATGAGTAGTCGATGAAGCCCTCGTTCTGTGGGCTAGAGCGACAGTGCAGGTTTAAAATGCAACCCCATGAGGCCAAACAATAAGCCTGTGACAGGGAAGAGAGAGGGGGGGGGAGTCCAGACAGTCAAGAATAATGGCTGCATCTTTCAAGTTGGATCAGGTCCTTCTGTAATGAAGAGAGGAGCTCTTTTCCTCTTGTGTGACAGCGACAGCGAGAGAGAGAGAATAATCTTGGGTCTCGGTCTCTCCGGTGTGGGATATGCAGAGATCGAATGAGGGAGAGAGAGAGAGACAGAGAGAAAGAACAGCAGGGAGGCTGGGATAATTACACACTGTTTGTGCATCCAGGAATACAAATCCGGAATGCTGGCGTGACGGTGAAGAGACTGAGTGCTGATGCTGTTTTTAATGAAAACAAAAAGAAAAGAAAAAACACCTTATTTACTCCTCTCAGATCGTTTACTGTTTTACAGTGTCACAATTAATTGTACTACAGAACAGAGGCTTGTGTTTACATATATATGTGTGTGAATATATAGTTTCAGATGCTTTGGTTCTCGAATTCTCTTTTTCATTTTTATTCTTCTCTTTCCAGAGTTGAAGTGTGTTCACACTTGGTAGCCGACAGCGAGAGAACAAGCCGTGATTTCAGCGGTAATCTACCCTGCGGCCCACTCCAGTTCCTTTAAAGGAGAGGACAGGCGCACACACGAGCACACATTCACGAATAAACAGCAGCCGGCTCAGAGAGGATGAAAGAAATTGAGTTCTCACTGCTAACTGCCCCTCCTTGCAGTTCATTTTCATGCAACAAATACTGAATATTTATCAAGTGGCAGGAACAGCAGTTTACTACACATTCACATTAGACCAGTGTTATTTTAGTATTATTTATATATTATTATAGTATTATTAATAATTGTTTTAATATATATATATATAGGTGTGTGTGTGTGTGTGTGTGTGTGTGTGTGTGTGTGTGTGTGCGTGCACGTTTTTGTGACATATGAGGACACAAATTTGTAAATTTGTTGTGTGTGTGTGCGTGCACGTTTTTGTGACATATGAGGACACAAATTTGTATAATGGCGTGGGTATGACATAGGTATTACAAGGAGAAGGTGACTTATGAGGACACTACCCCATGTCCCCATTTTTCAAAATGCTTATAAATCATACAGAGTTTTTTTGAGAAAGTAAAAATGCACAAAGTTTTCTGTAAGGGGTAGGGTTAGGTGTAGGGCAACAGCACATACAGTTTGTACAGTATAAAAACCATTACGCCTATGGAATGTCCCCACAATTCACAAAAACAAACGTGTGTGTGCGCGTTCAGTTTTCATTTTAATTTTAGTTTAAGTTTTAATAATTAGCTTTCATCATTTTTTGTTTCTTTCACAAGGCACTGTGTGTATATATATATATATATATATATATATATAT